TCGGCTTACTTACTTGTTATATATTTTTAGTTTATATTGATTGCTCTCCTCTCCCCCGGTAAAGGGTTCCTCGCGGCTCAGTGCCGAAAAATGGCGCCCGCTCCAGTCCGTGCACGGTGATTTCTTCAGAAGAAAAAAGTCCGGGTCTGCCTCCCTTTCTTCTCCTTCTGCTGCTCACCATCTGCTTCAGAGAGACTTCTTCTAGACTCTCCTTTGATCCCCATTTCAAAAGGGGGATCCCGGACCGGAGGGTTCCAGTTTTTTCCAGAGAGCTCTTCTCTGGAGTTGCTGGCAGCACCGCAACAAAGCCCCGCCTCATCTTATTATTTTTATAATCCTCTTCTTGCTTGTTTATTTATTAACTCCTCTTCCTTTTCTGTTGCACGATATTGCACTTCGTGGTGTTGGTTTACATTTTTCCATCAACTGCACTTTCAGGAGACTATTGATAGCCTGCCACCACAGCAAAGGAGCATAATGAGTAACATCCAAGTAGTGATGGGCAGGGGAAGGTACGGCATTGGCAGAGCAACTGGTCAGAACAGGAGAACGCTGTGCAATCTTTTTAAAGTTGTAACTCATTCTAGCTCTCTTGCCACCTTTCAGGAGCAAGGTAACCTAGTCAGGCAGCCTTCCACTCTCTGTGATGTTGCTAAATGCCAGATCTGCCCAGAGTAAAGCCCAGATTATTCAAGACCCAAAGGAGTGGCCCAAAGGAATCATGCTTCTTCTGGATGAAGAAGCAGATCTGACTTTCATCACTGAAACCTGGGTGGTGCTGAAGGGGGTGTGGCCCTGTCCTTAATATGCCCATCTGGTTACTCTATCCAACGTCAGGGGAAACTGGAAGGACAGAGGGGAGCCATTGTTTACAAATACCTTAGATACTGTCAGGCTCTCTGCTCTGGCAATTCTGGGCCTGGATGCCCTCCATGTGTTCTGGGTGGCAAGGAATGGATTTGGGATCCTCTTGGTTTACTGTGGTCCTCGTGAACCAGCACTCTCAGCGGCACTGTCCCAATTTGTTAACAGCCCTACCCACATGGCGGGCCAAATGCTGGACATTGTTTTCTTCAACAAGGCAGGGAGAGGTTGTCTCTTGGTTCTGAGTGACTTCAGCATCTATGCTGAGACTGAAGTTTCTGGGCCAGCTCTTGAGTTCTTGGAAACAATCGCTTCCTTGTATATATTATAAACCACCCAGAGTGGCCCTTGGCCAGATCGGAGGTATAAAAATGAAATGAAATAAAATAAAATAAAATAAATAAATATCTAGTGGCGAACCACTATTCTGTAAAGCTATAAGATAAATAAAGGTAAAGGTAAAGGTTCCCTTTGACAATTTTTGTCCAGTCGTGTTCAACTCTAGGGGGCGGTGCTCATCCCCGTTTCCAAGCCATAGAGCCAGCGTTTTGTCTGAAGACAATCTTCCGTGGTCACATGGCCAGTGCGACTTAGACACAGAACGCTGTTACCTTCCCACCGAGGTGCTCCCTATTTATCTACTCGCATTTGCATGCTTTCGAACTGCTAGGTTGGCGGGAGCTGGGGCAAGCGACGGGCGCTCACTCCATCGCGTGGATTCGATCTTACAACTGCTTGGTCTTCTGACCCTGCAGCACAGGCTTCTGCGGGTTAGCCCGCAGCGCCACCACGTCCCTATGATAAGATAAATAAACAAAGGTACAAATGATGGAAATTAAAAACAATAAACAATGGAAAAGCTAAAAAAAATCCCCACCCCAAAACCCAACTATCTATCAAACGCTACATAACTTCCAAGAAGGAGGAAGTAAAAGCAACAATTAACGATGAGCAGTAGACAGAATTTAGACATTTGGCTCAGAGTTGGCCTGCCTCAGACCCATACTTCATTGCTTTAAAATGTACAAACAATATATATTCTCACTATACCTCACTAAAAGACACCGTATCTTTTAGTGTATATTTGAAGACACAAAGTACATTTTCAAGAAAGAAGACACTGGACTACACAGCTCCTGCTGTCAGAAATAGGGAATTGTGTGTATGTAATAGAGACATTTTCAGTCTCTTCCTTACATCACCCTTCATTTTTGACCCTTAAGCCACTTCTAATACATCAGCTAAGCAATGCTGGCGATAGAAGAAGGGTTTCCATGAAAGCAACATGGAGGAAACATGCACTGAAGTCTATAAAGAGGAATGAAAATCTGTCTGAGCATGTAAATAAACAACAAACAGAAGTTTTGCAGAAAAAGAGATTTTAGAATGCAAAAATGAGGAAGCACACTCATCAAAGTGTATAAGAAGAATGAAAATCTGTCTGAGCATGTAAATGAGTAAAGATGTATGTGTATTCCTAGAGCACTGAGCAAACAAAGGACCACAGTGTGAGGGCAAACAAGTTCACAGCTGCCTACTAAAGATTAAAAATTGACCTCTTTTTCATAATAAAGAGGGCAGCCCTCATCTCTTCCTACAAGCTTAACTTCATCCTGTAATTTTTCCTGTACAGTCAGCAAATGTATTTGATTGAGATAGCACTGTGGGGGGGGAATGTAGCAGTGAAATTGGCAATCATAAAAGCAATACCAATGCAAACACACATTCCATCTTTTTTCTAAATAAACATACTGAGGATCCAGCCATAACTATACATTCATAAACCTAGCAATCCAGGAGATTTGGTGAAAGCATCCAACCCTTTACTGAAAATGAGTCCTGACTCTACAGTGGAACTTTGCTTGTTACTACTGAAATACCCCAGCTCACTTAAGCTAAAAGGAAGATGTGGGTTACATGTCCAGAATCAGGCACCCAGCAAAACAGGTCTAGATTTTAATCTTCAGTAGAACTAGGTAAATTCTAATCCCATTATTCAAGCACTAGAGTGAAACTGAGGCTTTGAGTGGAAAGAATGCCGGAACATGCTGCACTTCCTAACAGCACATTTTTATTTCAACACAAACCATTGCTTCTCTAGAAACTAAAATAATATCATCTGAGTGTAAAATAGTCAAATCAACATTCTACCAAGTTAGGACATTGTCACTGAAGCTAAATGAGTAAATCCTGCCCTCACTCTCGCTCTCTCGCTTTCCCCTAATGTGTAGCCCACGTAGCTTTAAGAGCTATGGGGTGGTATGTGAACACACGCTTTGCTTTTGCTTTGATTTAATATACAGATGTATGCCCACTGGAGCTACAACCACCCAACTAATACTACTCATATCTCTATTTTATTTCATGCAAAGCACAACAAAAAAATTCTTATATTTAATGTTTATGTTTTATTATAACTTTTTTCTTTTTCTAGTAATCACTGAGTGGTAAAGAATTTACGATGTGGGAGATTCATAACTAGATATACTAATCTCACTAACACAAACCCACACGGAGTTTGGTTAATATCATGTTGGTGGGCCTTTGTTTAAAGAGCTGGGTGATAAATTCTGAACTACTGGCTGAGGAGGTGTTTGAAGCCACATCCTCTCCCACAGGCTTCTTGCAGACTGCAGCTATTTCGACCTAAGAAGCTAAACCTGGCCCCAACTATGGCCATTAGACTTTGGGAATTTAATGAAAGCATATAATGTTGGAACTAACCTCAAGAACTTGGTGCACAGCCTGAAGAAGATTAATTATCATTGAAAGCTAGCTGTTTGGTTTTTTGGGGGAGGGTTGTTTGTTTTTAGTGGTCCCAATAAAGGTATAATCTGTTCCAGCATTTGTATTGTTCTGGGGATCACGTGGCCTCTTCCTGATTTTTTTTCATTTGTGTGCATGTATGAGAAATTTTAATTAGGAAAATCACGGTGGGGGTGGGGGTGAACACAGCAGACCTGAATACCACTGCCTTCATCCAATTCAACCCTCTACTCAAACATGGGTGCTGTTCAGTTTGTTTGATATCCCTGGTGCCATATATGGTTTGGCTCTTAGATTCCTAACTAATCTGAGTGGCCCAAAGGAATCATGCTCTTTAAAAAGTCACATCGAAATTATAATACTGTATGTGTACATTTAGAGATCTCTTTCACATAATTATCTATCCAAAAAATACAAAAGCATTTACACTAACCTGTCCATAGAACAAAGCCTCTATAGAATTAGATGAAACCCTACTTCAAAGTACAGTATGTACAACTCATGACCAGAGTGGGCAGGAGGATGCTGCACCCTGAAGAGTCACAGTGAGGCCCTTTCTATATGTACAATAAATGCCATGATTTAAAACATCAGCAATAGGAACACACTATGGAATGGCAACAGTAAACCATTCCTTGAACATCTCAAAAATCTTGTTAGGGTTGTCATAAGTCAAAAGCGACTTCACAGAACACAACAACAACAAATATTGATTACAAGGCAAAGGAAGAAAAAAGTCTTACCTTTCTCACTAACACTTTCACTTTCGATTTCTACATCATCACAGCTTGTATATTCTGGAGTAGAGGCCAACTCTTCTTCTGAGCTGCTCAGTGAAACTTGACGCATTTTACCCCCCTTCTTTGTTTTATGAGGCTTTGGTGGTGGAGGCCTAACTGATTCAGACTGGTCTGAACTTAGTGAATCATTTCTCAACATTGTTTCCATTTTTTCACGTTTTGTTTTTCTTACCGCTGAGCTAGGATCTAAATGGTGTTGTTTCCTTAGCGAATCAGTCCGCCTCATCTCTGGCCTATCAAAAGGAATTGGACTCCTCCGAGGTGTCGGAGGGCTATGATTTGTGGTCCTTTGCCGATTGGGACTTGGCCCCTGAGTTCTTTCCATTGAATATGAACGCTGGTCCATGGCAGCTCTACGTTCAGATGCAGACCTCTGTCTTGATGGTCGTTCCATTCTCATCATAGATATCCGGGAATCTTCCAGTTCACTATTTGCCAAAGACACATCACTGTGCCTTCTTTCGTGACGTGCTCGAGACACTTCAGCATGTATACGCATTTGTTCCTCATATGGTTGTGGTTTGACTGGATAACGAGCCAAATTAGGATCACTTCGATATCGCGCTTGGTACTCTTCTTCTCGACGCTGTCTTTCATATTCCTCCCTGTTCTGCACTTCATCTTCATCTAAAGGATACTCCCTGGAACACCTGTGAATTCTCCTGTTGGAATCCCTGTAGTCATCAAGGTCTGGTTCTTCATATAACTGAGAGGCAGGTTGTGATCGTCTGTCTGTATAATCTGATGGTGATCTTGGCATTGCACTGTCTGATGTTGCATACTGTGAATAATCGTCTCTCTCCTCCAGTTGGCTGAACCTTCTGTTCTGATCTCTGGATATTGATGGACTTCTTTTTCTATATAATCAGAAAAGAAAAGAAGAAAATGTGGTCAGCATTTCCATTTAAATATACAGTATCTGTAATGAACCAGTTCAGACATTACTATTAACAGCTGAAATATTATAACAGTGTAAATTTTCTCAGGATCTAATCATATTCTGTCAAAAGAGAAGAGCACAACTTTATACTGAATTGATTTTACAGAACTGATGCAGAATAGCATCTATGGGGCTGAGCTGTGAACTAAGAAACTTTCAGTTCAAATCTTCTGCCTATAGAAAATTCTCCAGATAGCCTTAGGAAAACCACTATAAATCTCAGTCCCCAGTTGCAATGTGGTAATGGTACTGTCCCATCTTATAAAGTTACTATAAAGTTTGCAATAAGATATAAATGCAGTGAAAAAAAATATACACACACACAAATGTTATCTATTACTAATAGTAATTGTAATAAAAGAACCTCATACTGGGAACCTCTAACCTTTTGACAAATTCCAGTGCATGGAGGCTTGAAGGACAACTTCTGTAGTTCTCTTTGATAACTGATCAGAAATCACTGCAGAAATTTCCTTTATCAGCATCTCAATCCCAATGTGGACAAACTGCAAAAACCCAGCTGTTTCTCTGTTGCTACCAAGAGCAAATTTATTCTCAATATCAGCACACAACTGGCTTTTAGAGCTAAATATGCCTTGTTCCCCTCCTTGTATTGAAAAAGCAGAGGAGGAGCAAAGTCAGCCATGTTCTCATTCAGCAGTTTCAAGAGCTAGATAAATCCCGACATTCTATCTGCAGTTTACCTTTCTCTTGAGAGTTTACCTTATGAATGACATTGTTCATAGTTTTAAATATTGTCTTTTAATTATGTTAACCACCATTCTATATTCATTGATTTCAACTTTAAATATTGTTGTAAGCCACCTTGGGTCCTTTTCAAGGAGAAAAGTGGAGTAAAAGTATAAATATAATAAATATAATAACCCTAACATTAACTAAATAGCATTGCTGGCCTATCGCTAACCCCCCCGCATCCCCAGGGCTCTATAAAACAATACAATACATACAGTTCTTTGGAGGAAAGGCCACAATTGTATTGATTTCAGCAGCAGTCCCTGGCCAGCATAGGAAATTGGATCTGGTCCATCGAGAGGACCAATTGCCACCTGATGCCCACTACTGTTTACTTCAGCAGCCGCTGAAGTTTCCACCAGAAGTTGCAGTCTTCTGGAAACCATACGGGCAAATGCCACTCCATGATTCTCACACATTTGGGGCAAAGGTTGGGCCTACAGGCCCCCAAGCTGGGCCAGACCATGACCCTTCCCCAGTCTCCCCATATGGGGAGGTTCCTTCACTGTTCTGGGCAAATAGGCTCCTGTCTTTGCTCTTAAGCTGTCCTGATCCAACCCCAATGCCCCAAACCACCAACAAAGTTGTGTTGAAATAATTCACTGCGTTCACACACTGGATTTTCCCCCACCAGCCAATACCCGGCTGGCAGGGGAGTTCCACTCCCTGTCGACCAACCAAGGCTAGTAGGGGATTTTCTGGCAATCATCTTTTTTTTTCTGGACTGCATGGCTGCCACCATGCCTGCTCTGGCACCCTACCGCAGGTGAGGAGGAAGCAGAGGAGAATCAAAGTCAACTATGTTCTCATCCAGCGCTTTCCTGAGCTAGATAAATCCTAACATTCTATCTACAGTTTACCCTTCTCTTATAATGACTATATTAACTAAATAGTATTCTCTTTTTTACACTTTTCAGTCATATATAAAAATATTAAGTAAGAACAGTCAGTACTCAAATGTTTAATCTATTTTCATTTATTTTTATTTTTATATGCTTTTCTTCAAAGTTATCAATATATGTACTGTAGCTCCAAAATTTTAAATCATTTCAACTCACTTATTTCCAAGAATATTCAAATCAATCCTTCATTCATTAATTATTTAAGTCAAATCCTTAGTACATGTAGTATCATGTACACGTCCCAAATTGTACAGTATAGATATAGTGACTAAGGTGTAGTGAATGGAGAGCAAAAAAGGTGCAAAAAAGGTGGTGGTTTAAAATACTGTATTACATCAACCAGAAGTACAGTCTAGGTGAGTGGCAGTGAACCTTTTTGGGCCCGAATGCCCAAAACGGGGGGAAATAAAACAACCAGTGGGTGGCGGGCCGCAGTGGCAGAACTGGGAGTGGTGTGGCAGAACTGGAAGTGGGAATCCCAGGCACGGAGATGCCTCGAGACTCCACTCCGGATCCACCGCCAGCACCAGCTGCTTTGGATCCTGGCCCACCACCTGTCAAAGTGCCAGCACCCCGGCTGCAGCCGCTTCCTGAGGTTTGGCTGTTGGGGGGAGTAGCAATCCAGCAACTTATGGCTTGAATGCCCGCAGAAAGGGTGCCATAGGTTTGCTATTGCTGCTCTAGGTCAATCTATAGCTTAATACTAACAGAAAAATATTCAAAACCATAATCTGAGTGACAAAAACAAATTCTTCAGACATTAACTTTCCAAGCTGAAAATGTCATTCTTAAAGGCTACAGATAAACATCAACATGTAACTCTTTTCTTCCTATCTACAGTACAAAAAAAGCTGAAAGTTACAATGCGCAATTACTGTACTGTACAATCCTTGTCACATCCACTCTAACTGCACTACTTTACTTATTCATTCATTCATTCATTCATTCATTCATTCATTCATTCATTCATTCATTTAACATCTATACCACTTTTCTCCCAGCAGTGATTTCGCTTATCGGGAGAAAGGCAGCCAATAAATGAGACAAACAAACAAATAAATGGGCCTCAAGGCAGCTTAACCTTTAAAATTAAAGGCCTGGAACTGAAAAAGCACATATCATAAATATTATTCCACATTCTATCTGAAAAACTGCACACAAATTATAGGGCTGTGTTGTTGTTTTTTAACTAGAAGCACTGTTATGAAGCATAATTAATTATTCTGTGGGTGTCTCCTTGAACCAACATTAAAATCATGTGTCCCAAGTCTAAAAACTATTACAATTGCACCATTAATATCTGAAGTTCTATCATGATCCAGCAAGAAAGTAAAGAAAGTATAAGATAAAACTGGAAGTATGATATATTCTTAACATATTGAAACAGAATGCATGTCCGGAAACAGTAACATCACTACAAGTAGTGTACACCAGAAACTCAGACCTACAGTATTTAAGAACTCAAAGGATATCTGACCTTTGCTGGTGCAATGCCCATGGTATCTATAGTGTCAGGATCTCAGATACCATGGGTATTGCACCAGCAAAGGCCAGATATTCTTTGAATTCTTAAATAGTTGGATGCTAAGTGATGTCCACAGTATCTTAAGTTCCTGATTCTATAGATATCTCTCTGTATCAAGCTAGTACAGTATTAAAGTTCACCCATTACGTAGCCATATCTGCATTTTTTTTTTGTTTCGGTGCTTTGCCTATGAAGCATCACAATGAGACCCACAGATTTCTGATTACTCTGGAGCTGGCAGGTACCCAGTGTGGTGTAGCTGATAGAATGACAGGCTAGGGTCCAGGAGACCAGGGTTCAAATCCCCAGTTAGCCATGAAAACTCACTGGGGGAGTGGAAATAGTAAAATCCCTCCTTAAATATCTCACCTTAAAGCCTTATTCAGTTGCTATAAGTTGATTCTGACATGACAGCACATAACAAACTAACCCTGCTTGGCAGAGTACTGCTTGCAAAGTACGTATTCAAATTTGTCTCCATCTAAGAATCTCTAAAACATGAACTAAAAAAAGAAAAATACCATAAATTACTTATGTGAACAAAATAAAAAATGACATGTTCTGTAGAGATGGAGGACTTGACTGAGTTTTCAAGTGCTTTAAAAATACATTAGGTATGTATTACAATCCAATATACATAGCATTTCAACAAAGGATCATATTAGCATGAGCAGTGCAATGGAATTAATGCATCAGTGAATACTAGAGGTTTGTGGAGTGTTTAACAGATATTATGCTAGCACTCAGTTCAGCAGTCTCTGATTACGTTATCAGAGTTCTTTGATTCTTGGATTTGGGCATATACACACAGTGTCTTCTATTACTCAAGATCTCCTAAAGGTCATTTCATCTACTTCATGCTGCCCTTTCTCTACATTTGCTGAGTCTGGGTCATGGGACAGGGCACTGGATATATAAAGAAGACAGAACAAATTAGAGACCATATAGATTCATAAAATGTTATTTTCTTTTACAAAACAACTTAATTTTTAAAAAATCTCTGAAAATTCAACATACTATAGAAAATCATATTTCATATTCAACTGTCCCCTCCAGAGGACTTAGCTTCCTGAATTTCATGCACTCAACAAGAGCACTTTTACTTTGCTGGTTATGTGGTATTCCTCTCAAAATCCGAATAACCTGAAAATCTGTATTAAAGTAAATACAGTAAAAATAAAGCTCTTATGACAAAGCCATTTTTTTTCAGAAAACATAGTAAGAATATAATTAGCCTTTAGATGAATGTCCAGTCAAAAAAGTCTCAAATTACAAGCTCTTAGGAATTTTGTTTCATTCCTTTTTTATCCTGAACACACCATAGAAATATAATTGTTAATTACATAATTAAAGCTCATAATAATGCAGCTGCCATTCAGCATTTCTTTAACTCTAAAGGAGCTGTCACATTCCATCCATCTTGAAGGTTTTTAAAGCCAAATTGCTTTTTCTTTTTAAAAATATGTTTATTATATTAGAAATGAGTTTTCAAGGTGCACACATGTAATGAAAAGCAAATCAACAGCAACAACCGTCATGCAAGAATGGAGGTAATCAGTTTAAGATAAAACTGATCATTAGTTAATCAATTAAACAGATTTTGTCAGAAGTCTACATGAGTACTTGGAGGGGATGACAAATGAGTATATGTGTTTATGCAGCTAATACTCAATAGGCTTCTTTCAGTCTCGAGGGACTATGGTAACGTGCTCTGAATAGAGCTCTGGGAACAGCGTC